CATTTAGTTGGTTAGTTGTGGGAATTAATTGGTAGCTCATTAGTGATATCTTTGGCCCATTTTGGAGAGGAGTGTTTGGCCCAATTGAGTAACCTATTTTGTGTCCCATATATGTTGGTGTTCCAGCCGTGTGTTAGTGTGTGCAAGAGAGTGGAGAAGAGAGGAACCGAGAGAGAGGCAACCGGGTTATGGATTGGTGGGTTTCTAGGTGAGTTCCAACCATTGTTATCCTCTTCTCCTTCTTCCCTTTGAGGGCTTTCCATCACCACCACCATATCTCCTTTATGGGGATGTATATCTTGGAGCAACCTGGTGTAGGAGTTTTGGGTCGAGCCTTGGAAGTGTGGTGTACGTTTGGTTGTTTTCTGAGCCCGAAAATTGGTTGATTGGAATCCCAAAATCTTACAGATAAGCATGAGTTTGAACATCATAAAAAATCCCACTATTTGGATGCGATATCTGCCTATTTTGTCTATGTAATAGACTGTGAACGAGTAACCAGGGAAGGTCCCCAGAAAGGCAATCAAGAACATGGCACGCGAAGTCTCGAACATTTCCTGCAATGCGCTAACGTCTGCTGGTTGGCTTGTGAGTCCCATTGTAAGAAATATGTCTTTTTAAGTCAGGTTTTGGCTGTAGAAAGCTATGTCTAACAAGAACCATGTAGTCGTCGTGCCAATTAGGTGTCGGCCATGGCGTCGAAAGAACTCCCTTGACAATAACGGGTATTCATTAACTGCCTTGAATTGTGCTAGCTTTTCTTTTATCAGCTTGAATTTCCATGTCAAGAAATCTACCCATATCAGAAGCTGTTTGTTCAGCATTACCCTTGATAAGTGTCGTGTATCACCCCCGTCTCTGGCATCTTCATCCTCCAGTAGAATGTGAGAATTGCAGGAAGAGCTCCAACATCAAAACTATTCTCCAAACATAATCTGCCTCAGGCTCAGCATACAAAATGCCATTATCCAAAAATTGAGTCCCTTTGTACTTATTGAGGAAAATTATTGAGAGAATCATCGACATTAGGCCGGCAAAGACAGTGCCAACACCTTGCATAGCAAACACTGCTGCGATAAAAGCCCCACGAGTCTTCTTGTTCGCGTACTCAGACATAATGGTGGCGGAGAGAGTATAATCGCCCCCAATGCCAAAGCCAAGCCAGAATCTGAAGAAACAAAGAGTTCCCATTACGGCTTTGGGACTGAAACCAAAGGATAAACTTGAAAAATAGCACAAATGGCCATAAGAATCAGGGTAATCCAGTAAGTGTTATGCCCTAAACCCAATCGATTTAGGTTATAAACACTTTTCAAATGTTTAATGCATTTAATTCTGACAAGATCTATTATTTATTTATATAGCTTTTCTATTGAAATTATATTAAATAATAGAATCCGTAGATTTAAGTCTTTTCAGTTTGTTAATCACAAGGAGTTGTGATTGTGAGATACAAATTGTAATATGACCGAATCTTAAATTATCCATGGTCGAAGTGATAACGAGATACGGATATCGTTATTACAGATAGACTATCGCGTGTGACATTCTTACTTGTGAATTAAGTAGCTGATCTCACAAGTTAAAGTGTGATGACACTTGAATGAACACGTGGATGTTTTGTTATAGAACAAAACATTGGAGACCCGCTGGGAGATTCTACATGGATAATTATCTGAGTGTTAGTGGTTAATCTCTAACATTCGGTAGTGAAATTGGTCCTTTGACTTGAGGTCATCATAGTACCTTATATGAGGACAGTCATACTTTGGTGGTATTGGATGTTGCTCTATCAAGGGTCGCTAATACAGTATCGTTCAGGTATGTCAAGAATTATATGAAGGTTGTGAATGATCGATAGAGAATTCGTCACTCTTAGATAGTAAGAGAATATGATCTACATTTTATCCAATTAAATTGATAATGAAATCATTGGTCAAGGTGAACTCATAAGTCGAAAAAGAGTTTTCGATTACATTGACTAAATAGTGGGATAAAAGATATGATCGATAATTGAGATTGACACATGTCCATATCTCATAATTGATTGGATCATATTGACGAAAGGATTATAATTTCACGGTAAACGAACAAGTTTTGGTTTGTTACATCACGTGACATTACCCATCACATGTATTGCCTTGACGCAGTGCTAGATGTCAATTTGGGACGACGAATCTGAATGAGTGATAAATTAAAAGGGGGTTTCAATTTATCGATGTTTTGATTAAATCAAAATAATAATTCACGACGTTAGATATAGTGATCGAGAACCTAATGGGTCACACACAAAAGAGAACCAGAAGAATGAGATTTACCAATTAATTAATTGACAAGTGTTGGATAATTAATTAATTGGATTGTTTATTAATATACCCGAATTAATTAATTGGATTAATTAATTCATGGACCGAGTTTAATTAATTTGATTAATAAAGTATCGGATCGGGTTTAGTTTCAAAAGGGGCCAAGCCCACTTGGGCTTATATTAATATGATACTAGGGTTTGAAAACTGGAAAGATTTTTTATTATTCTTGCTAGCACAAGAAAAGTAAAACCCTAGCCGTCATTCTTGTTCTCTGTGTGGATCACCATTGGAGGCTGGACAATTGGACAACTTGGATTGCATATCGTGATCATTGGAGTTCGAGAATCAGCAAAAGATTTTGCAGAATTTATCAAATGTATAATTCTTATCACAGTTTCTATCTAAACACATTGCAGATCCGTGGTGGGAATTGAAAATTGTTTTATTTCCCCCGTGCGTGATTAAGTAAATTCCCAACAAATCCCATAAACTTTCTTCGTTTCTAGTTTATCACCCATCCACCCGAAGACTAACTAGCCGGTTTGAGTCCCGACTAGGGCTACTCCGATCAAAAAATTATTGACATTATGAGGTAGTCTTCCTGACTTATTCATGGAGGGGTCGTGATAATAAAGACGGTTTAAGAGCTTGACGATGGTAGAGATGCAAAACACATCGTACGCACCGGTGAAAATGCCCATTCCGGCGATCACAATCGCGTTGACATGATACCATTGTATACGTGCATTGTCAAGAGCATTAAGCACAGCAATGCTGCTTGTAGCCATTGCTGGCAAGCAATGAGATTTAATTTGTTGTTTATTGTGAGTGATTTTGAGAGAGAAGAATATCTATATAATGCAAGTGAATTACAACAGTCGTTGTTGACAAGGTTTTAGGACAAGAAATTGTTAGATTAATGGTTGTCCGTAGGATATACTTTTCCATAGATGAAATCAAGGATATATGAAGAGGGTAGAGGTATGTTTGATAAGTTTAAAATAAGTTTAAAATAAATAAGTTTTTAATGATAAAGTTTAAAATAGATAAATTACTTATTTTAACAATAAGCCCTTGTTTGGAAGTCATTTTCAGAATATTTTTAGCAAAATTCTATTCGTCCTACCATAAAAGGGTAGCTGCATTTGTTGACCAAGTCAAGCAAAATTATCTGTGTATCTTTCTGACATTTATTTCATTGTATCCGAGATAAATGAACATTTTACAGAATTTACTTGATATTGAGTCGATAATAACGACTGCATAGAGACCAACATACTCTTCGAAATGTCCAAATTATTCTTAAAATCCAATAAGAATCGTGCTAGAGACCAACATACTCCGCATTTGTTGACCAAGTCAAGCAAAATTATCTGTGTATCCTTCCGACATTTATTTCATTGTATCCGAGAGAAATGAACATTTTACAGAATTTACTTGATATTAAGTCAATAATAACGGCTGCATAGAGACCAACATACTCTTCGAAATGTCCAAATTATTCTTAAAATCCAATAAGAATCGTGCTAGACAAGGGCTAAGATAAAAGTTTTTTTTTTTTTTCCCCCCCTGAAATACATAACTTTTTATTACTTGTAAGGGGAATGAAATTAAAAGCGTGGGAGAATACAGTTCTGTAGTACCGCTAATTTGCACCTAGTTAATTGCGACACGCTTTGCACTATCACGTGATAATCACGTGACAAACGCAATGATAGCAAGAAATACGACGACGTTTAAACCCTATCTTCATCTTCTCCATTTTTTTCTTGAAATCTCTCTGTAAATTCGACTTTTAACTAGTTTTTCCACCTTCAAATTCATTGCTACAAAACAAGTGAAAAGATATTAAATTTCATAAGAAATAGAATAAAATCGCTAATAATAATGCACACCATTTCTACCTTCAAATTCATCACAGTTTCTTCAACACTATCATCCTCCAATCCAAGAATTTCCACCGCATGCCCTTTATTTTCAAAGAGATTCTCATCAGGTATCCAAATTTTGTCTTCCATTTCCACATCGAGAAAGACCCCTTTTCAATCAAAATCATCAGAAGAAGCAGAGGTATCCGAAGCAGAGGATGAGTGGCTTCAAAGGTTGCCGGAGAAAAAGAAACCATTATACGCTCACAGCTTGCCATGCATTGAGGCCTGGTTGAGAAGTCTTGGGTTTTATCAGAGTAGAGAAGACAGAGCTGCTTGGTTTGTAGAGAAACCTGGCTGGCATGCCAAACTCTCGCTTGATGTCACTGATCTTTGCATAAGGTTTGGTCGTATTAAGACATGCATTTCATGATTAAAGATTGGACTTTTAGAAGTTTTTATCTTTTAAATTTGTATTTTTCATATAATTTTTATGGTTAATTTGGTCCCCCTTTTTTGTGAAGATAATGAGTATTTTGGTTGGTTTAGTGTATGATTATGTTGTTGCAGTCAAAATTTGCTTCCTTATTTATCCTCCTTTATCCTGTAGCTTCATTTAATGCCTAAGTCAATATTTGACGATTCTAAATATAGTTGAAACTGGGAAATTTACACTCTCATGTATACTATGGCATACCTAAAGAGCTTGTAGGGAGGTCTAGTGTTGATAGCTTCTTCATTCTTGTTTGGACGGTAATGGAAGACTCTTGCTTGGACTAAATTTAGCTATGCGGATGGAATGGATTTTTTTATTCCATTACTTCTTAATTGGTAGTCCATTTGGATGTGATATTGAGTTTGTGAATTTTTAATCCACAACAGATGTCATTGTCAGTAATGAGATTTTGCAATGTTGTTTGACTGGTTAACTATTTTCTATTATTATTAGAATTTGGATTCTGGAATCAAGTTTGGTGTTAAAATTACAAGTTGGAGCAGTACGGTTAGATCATCCGGCATTTGTTTTAACTGGAGAAGAAAATAGTGCAGCTTGATGGCAAGGCTACATTTATTTTGACTTTTGTGGAAGGGAAAATTAAGGTTTTTGGATAATTAATTGGTTGCTGGGTGACAGATGATATTTTAATGAAGTTTGGGGTTTTGGCTTGTTGATAGGCGAAGATGTATGGAGGATTTGCTTTTCTTAATCTAAACAGTGTAGGATCAGATAAAATAAAAACATAGTTGTAAAGAGAGGCTAGCAAGTTGGCATCAAAGAAGTGCTCATAAAATCTGGTATAAAGAACTTATAAAGTACCAAAGCATTCGGCAACAACTGGACTTTCTTATGTTGCACTATGTCAAGCGTAATTACACTGTTGACTTATCCATGGTTGTGGATCGACCCATATTCAAAGATATCTATAGCAACTCGAGCGTGCTGTTTTTTTAAAGGTAAACAGACTGCGAGGTGTGAGATCTCTCCATTTTGAACTTCTTGTCGATTTTAGTAAAAACTTGCGGTGGCGAGTGGAAGTAGCTCTAATATTGTGGGTGAACCACTATATAGCTGCTATGTGTTCGCTTTTTTTTGAAAAGAAATTTTTTTTTTGCTTCCTTGCTTGCTTGCTTGCTTGCTTGTCTATTCTAATGAAAACTTGCGGTGGCAAGTGGAAGTATCTTTCGTATTGGGGGTGAACTACTTTAAATCAAGGTTTTCTTTGTGATTTTTTCTTTTTATTTTTTATTTCTGCTTGCTTATTATTGCTCTCAAAGTTAAGGATTAGGACTTGAGAACACTTATCTTACCTTGAGGACCTTGGCACCGCCCAGCATAGCGTTTGTAATGGCATTGTAAAATGAGTTACATGTGAAGAACTATTGATCACAAATTTTTTCACGGTAAAAAAAAAGGGAAGAGGAAATGTGAGGTTGCAGGGCACCATGGTGCCAACTATGCTGGTGATTACAACATTTGTTCAATTTCTAAGTTTCAATCTGTTATTGCTTGATTCTAAACAATATTTTTGTCAAGTATTCAACTACTGTATAGAGCAGATTGATAGGAGTTGAGCAATACACATGGCTAATGCAACTTATTCTGAACGCCTTTAGGAAGCCAATCATTTTAAAAGATTTATTTAAAGACACATTGACCAGAGGCTTTGAATTGTTCCATATTTTAAGTCTTCCAGAAAAATTACTTGATGTAACGCTAAGATTAAGATTGAATTGTCTATTCCGTTGAAATCTACAAAAGTAAGATACTATCCACAGCTTTTGTCTTTCAATTATGTTTATTGAATCCTTGAGTTCTATCCAACTTAATAAAAAAGATACGAATTTTTTTTTTGTACATCCTTCTAGTGTTTTCTTTACTTTTACTCCTTCATATGTCAATTACTTTGAATGTAGATTTTACTGATGCACTTCCCCTTATAAACGAACTAAAGTTTATCCTTTTTGTTAGTTGAGAATCCCTAATTTGTTTGTTTATAGTCCAACTGCTCATTTTTCTGGGATTCCATTGTTTGATATTACATCTTTCTGTTCTGTTAAGTTTGTCTCTTGGACTATCTTCGTGTCATAACAAGGCTATAAAAATACTTTATCTATCTATTTGCAATCTAGTTCTTCATCTCTAAAGGTTATTCAAGTAAAAAGAAGTGTTTAATCTGTTGATAGTCGGAAGATCGTGTGGTAAGTGATACAATAATGTTTTGATGCTTACTGATTTAGGTTTTCATCTTGAAAGGTCAACTTTATTAAAATGAGTAGCTCAAGCTCATGTATTTTGGTTATTATTTTAATTTGTGATTTACTCTTAACAATGTTGAAGGGTCTAAGTAGGGGTGAACAAAAGAAACTGCCAACCGTCAAACCGAACCGAAACTGCAGTTTTGAAACCGTTGGTTTGGAATTTGTTTGGTTTAGGTTTCAACGTTTTTAAAACCAAACAAAACTATTTGGAAGTTGTTAGGTTTAGATTTTAATAGTTAAAAATTGCTTGAAACCAAATTGAACCATTCATCCATTTAAAATAAAAATTACTTATTTTATATTAGTTCAAGTTATAGTTCAACAAATTTAATTGCTAGTCTGCTTCTATCGATTCTTTAAGGAAATAATGATTTATGTCAATATTTTTCTTCTCTATTTCAAAAATAATGAATTTATAAGCTTAAGTTTTATGGTTGAACCTTGTATCAATGTGTTGGTTTAACCTTGTTTGAGACAAATATATTTGTATGTTAATGATTATATTTAGAATATTTCAATTGAAGTACTATATTGAGATTTTAGACCAATATATTTAATGGTTTGGTTTGGTTGGTTTGAAAATAATTCAAAAACCGTCCAAACTGAACTGTATTCACCCCTAGTCTAATGGGCTCTGTTCAACTCAAGTATTTTCAGAAAGAGCAAACCAAGATGGTCATTTATAATATAAAGTCTTATCAACTCTTCGCTTTTATCTTGGTTTGAGACTGGCTAGAAAGACTTGTAGATGGAGTTAAGGATGTTTCTTAAGACAACATGTAAATTGACAGAAGATGCAATGTCTTCTCTCTTTCTATCTAAACTATTTTTTTCTGCTTTTAATTTGCCAACATATTGAAATTGTCGAAGTCTTCATTTCATTTGTTACTTTCCAGTCAAACAAACTTCTATCATTTCTTTTTCAATTTTTAGTAATTACAAGTTTCTAACAGCTTTTTGGAATTGAATTCAGGTATCTAAAGAGTGGACCAGGAGAGCTTGAGAAAGACGTTGAAAGGAGATTTAGTTATGCACTGAGTAGAGAAGATATTGAGAATGCAATACTTGGAGGGCCATGACGATGAAGAATTTTTAATCCGCTTTGCTTAATCCTTCTGGAAGCCCTCGCGTAGAAAGACTCCACGGTTAGCTTTATATTGATTTATCTGCTTTTCAGTTCTATCGAGTGAATCTGTATCTTGAAAAATAATTGTTATTTAACTGTTCAATGGTACAATGAAAACAGAGGGTATTTCATCTCTTTTTCTTTTTTCCCTCCCGCATGTCGATATTAGGATCAACCAGATGGAACATGTACTTTGCAGCAGTTTCAGTACCTAGTGTCCCCTTCAGTTATAAGATTGTCCAAATCTTTAATTCCTAAGTGACTTGTTTGATAAGGTAGACCGACCCTAGAAAAATTAACTTAATATCATTCATTATACTGGTTTTTCAGCATCGTCTGGCCTATTTTGTTTGTTCAACATCTGTTATTATCAAACCTCAATTGTGCCCGATCTAAGAAATTGCAATTGGGAAAGGTTCTGCCAAGATGATGCAGAACGTGGCCACTTAGATTGAAATATGAAAGATCGAGATGTTGTAATCTTCTAAGGGAGCCAATGAACAGAAAAATTGTGCTTAGATCAAAATCCTTGTTGTTGAGGTCTAGAGGTCAGATGGGCCACCAAGATTCAACACAACAACGTGCTTTATGACACTGGATACCTCTATTTACAGCAATCCATGTTATCTTCTATAGTTCCTGAAGAAGAGAGTCGACAGTGTTCATCAACAAGCTCATCTTTGAACTTGAATAGAGTCTCTCCCTATCTAAGTACTGGATTGATTCTACCAACTTTCACTCCCGAAGAGTGTCCAAAAGCAGGCATACAACACATTTCTTTAGCTTTTCGTTTGTGTGCAAGAAGATGAGAAGATATGTCAGACTAGTAAAGTCATCAATTATCATTCTACATATTTCTCTCTTTGTAGAATTAAGTGAATAATTTACACGTGTTACCTGAATGATGAAAAAGTCCCATCGCTTCCTATTTATGAAAACTGTACACATCGTAAACGGATGATAAAAAAGTGAGTTCATGTAAGTGTAAGAGTTTTTAGGCTGAATACCTTTCCCTTCTCCGATTCTCGTATTATGTAGAAATCGAAATATGTACATATATGGTTTGTAATGAACCTAATATGGTAGTGCACAATAATGGTATGTACTCGTCCTAAATTGGTAATTACAATCGGATTATAATTTGATTGAATATAATCTCATTGACATCCCCCCTCAAATTGATGGTGGACGATCAAGAAGCATCAATTTGCTGACAAGAAACTGATGACGTGGTCGAGCCATCACCTTGGTGAACAAATCAGCAATTTGAGCATCAGTGGTGACGTGGGAAAGAGTAATAAGGTGACTATCATAAGCTTCACGTATAAAGTGACAATCCACCTCAATATGTTTAGTGCGTTCATGAAACACGGGGTTAGTAGCATTCTAAATGGCACTAGTATTGTTAGCATAAAGAGGAGTAGGCCCAAGTTGAGGACAATTAAACTCCGTGAGAAGACCTCGAAGCCAAACAATTTCATAGCAGGCAGAAGACATAGCATGATACTCAGACTCAGTGGAAGATTTAGCTTCTTACTTCACCATGAAATGAGCACGCTCCCAAATATATTACACCATCCGGTAATTGAACAACGAGTATCTGCACATCCGGCCCAATCAGCATCACTATAACCAACCAGCTCAAAAATAGAATTGGCAGGAAAGAAAAGACCCATATTAGGTGTACCTAGTAAGTATCGAATAATGCGATGAACTGCAGATAAGTGGAGGTGTCTTGGGGCGTGCATAAACTAGTAAACTTGTTGGACCGCAAAAGAGATATATGGTCGTGTAATAGTAAGGTAATTTAAACTACCTATTAATTGACGATATAAAGAGGGATCAAGAAGAAGATCACCCCCCTCTTTGCGATATTTCACGTTCACCTCCAATGGAGTAACAACATATCTACCATCCTGAAGTCCAGCTAAGCTAATCAACTCCTCTGTATACTTATGTTGATGTAGGTAAGTCCCGGCTGGACTCGAATACACCTTAAGAAATACTGTAAATGGTCTAGATCCTTCATATGAAAAGATTTCTTAAGTCGGTCTTGAAGATGAGATATCAATCTAGAGTCGGTCCATGTAATAACTATATCATCCAAGTAGACAAGAAGAAGCGTCATACCCACCTCGGTGTTGGAAATAAAGAGAGACGAATCATATTGACTCTAAGTAAAGGAGAAACCAAGAAGAGTGGAACGAAACTTGTCAAACCAGGCACGGGGGGCTTGTTTCAACCCATAAAGTGAGCGTTTTAGCTTATATACACCGGAAGAGGGCAAGGAGAAGAGACCCGCGGGTGATGTCATATAAATCTCTTCCTTAATGTCACCATGTAAGAAAGCATTCTTAACATCCATTTGTCGTAAAGACCATTCTTTGGAGGCAGCTGTAGTAAGAACGATGCGAACGGTTGTCATTTTGGCAACAGGTGCAGAAGTCTCCTCATAATCTACTCCATATTCTTGACAATTACCAAGAGCCACCAATCGAACTTTATAGCGGTCTAGGGAACCATCATAGCGGAACTTAACAGAGTACACCCATTTACACCAAATATGTTTGATTCCAGAAGGACAAGGAAAAATATACCAAGTGTGATTTTCTTGAAGAGCTTGAAGTTCCTCCGCATGGCCTTGTTCAAATAGGGTTGGGTAATGCCCGGACAATAAAAAGTAGGAATTGTGATATGAGATAAGGTTGCAGAGAAACCATACCGAACAGGAGGGCGAGTAATGCGGGTGGATCGCCGAAGAGTATCAGAGTCTGGGACAGGATCGGGAAAGGGCAGTGAAGCTGGAGGTCGTCGTCTCTGACGAGAAGAATCCTCAAAACTAATGAGCGGAACTAAATCAGAAGATGGCAGATGTTGTTGAAAGTAATACTGATTCTCAAATAAAACCACATTGCGAGAGATACAGAAGCGATTAGCAACACCATCATAACAAACAAAACATTTCTGAGCAATACTGTAACCCATGAAAGCACACCGTACGGATTGAGCAGCAAGCTTATTACGCTCATATGAAAGCAAATGAACAAAACATACATAACAAAAAGTATGCAACATGTCATAGCTAGGATGTGTGCCATGCAGGTGAAAATAAGGTGAATCAAAATTCAAATGCTGAGCAGAAAGTCGATTAATCAGATGTACAACTATGGATAGGGCTTCAACCTAAAATTTGGGCGGAACCGAAGATTCCAGGAGTAAAACTCTGACAATATCCAACAAGTGACGATTCTTTCTTTCTGCCACTCTGTTCTGCTGAGGAGCACATGGGCAAGAGCGTTGAGAAAGAATACCCTTCTGTTGTAAAAATGTCTGGCACTGATGAGGCATATATTCACCACCATTGTCAGACCTCAGAATTCGAATAAGGGAAGAAAACTGTGTCTCAATGTAAGCGATAAAAGTTTGAAGCGTAGTACCGACTTCACTTTTAGAGCAAAGAAAGTATATCCAAGTATAACGATTGAAATTATCAATAAACATCACAAAATACTTATAATGGGCATGTGAAGTGATGGGTGCCACTCCCCAAATGTCACTACGAATAACCTCAAAGCATTTATTAGCACGGCTGCCATACGTTGGAAATGGAAGAATCTTACTTTTCTCAAATTTACAAACATCGCAATTGAAAGATAAATTTGAAAACTAAGACTGATCTTTATTACCCAAAAAATCACACTTCAACAAATGAGACAAAATTAAAGTATTCAGATGCCCTAGTCTTTTATGCTAAATTTCATGGTTAAGGCCAACATCAATACATGCTAAAGACAAAGCAGTAGGAATATAAAATTGTAATGGAAACAATCTTCCGACTTTAGGCCCCTTCGCGATCACCTTTCCTGACCCCTGATCCTGCACAAAACAACCAGCACGAGAGAAATGTACATCACGGTTATTATCAACCAATTGGCCAACTGAAATCAAGTTAGTAGATAACCCCGGAGATACAAAAACATTATCAAAAGAAGACCCAATATCACCAACAGCAGTAATCGGGAGGGTACTGCCATTAGCAATCTGAATGTGTTGCGTGCCAATATATCGTCGGATATTTTGCAATGAATTAGAACTACATGTCATATGATTTGACGTCCCCGAATCAACAAACCAAGGAGAAGAGACAACTTGATCCTTACCTTATATGTCTAAAGCAGAGAAGACAGAAACAATCATCTGTTGAACCATTTTTGGGGTAAGAAGCGGTTGACTAGTACTTGCTGGAGAGAGTGTGGGAGTAGGTCCATGCACATTAACTTGAAATGCCTGAGCGTTTCGTTGCTGAGGTCGTGTGGGACAATCATTGATGAGATGTCCCGGTTGCGTGTTGTACTTACAGAGTTTCTGAGGACAATAGCGAGCAATATGACTACATCCTTTGCAGTAGAAGCACTGAAGTTTACCTTTTCCTCATCCTTGTGCGGCATATGCAACATTCACCACATTAGAGGAAAGATCTCCCATGGTAGTTTGTGTAGGCAGTCGTTGCTCCTACGTAGAAGTTCACGCAAACATACATCCAAAGAAGGAACCGAATCGCGATTCAATAAACTCGTCCGAGCAACTTCAAATTCAGGTCGTAATTTCATAAGAAACTGATCCGGCTTACTAACCTCGTGAGCCTCTCAGAGAGCCGATAGAGCCGTTATAGGAACCTTAGCATGAATTATGTTGGAGTACTCACTCCACAAGCTCAGAAAATCGGAGTAATATTGTTCAATGGTGAGATTGCCTTGAGTGTAATTGTCAATCTCTAACTCCAACTGAAAACGTCGTGCATTGTTGTCCTGATAATAGATTCGTTTTAAGTAGTCCCACATTTCCCTAACAGTAGTGAAAGAGCGTAAATTATTCACCCTGTGCACCTCCATAAATCCCAAAATCCAAGAAATAATCCGAGCATCTTTAGTTTCCGATGCACTAAGATCTTTAGCATCCTCAGGCACTTTAGATGACCCATCAATATGACCCAAAACTTCTTCCTTTTTAAGAACATTTTGAATTGGAATTCTCATATAAGGTAATTCTTTCCTGTAAACTTAACGCAAAAAGTGTCAACCGACATACCGCCTTATTGTAAAACAATCACCAAACTTAAGATTTTCAATCACAAGTAAAAACCCACACACCTGAAATAATATCCAAAATAAATAAAATAAAACGCAATTGGGCCTCTAACTTATAAAACCCACTCCACCTAAACAAAGAAATAAACCACCACAATTGGGCTTTAATCGCACAGCCCACGCAGCCCACTCCTCCTAAACAAACAAACAAACCTCCACAATTGGGCCATAAATTGCACAGCCCACACCTACGAGCCCAAAAGAAAAAGACCACGGAGAGCCCAAAACGAACTCCACAGTGACGCGACGATCGCGCACACAGAAACGGCAGCGATTCAACTCCGATTACTCACAAGACCCAGCCACTGGTAATCGACTCCCACCGGTGAAGAGGAAGTCAATGCATGCATACGCTACAATCGAACACCACCACCGCCAAGTCGAAGATGGCAGTCTGCACCAACAAAGACGTCGACCACCGATCGGACAACCAAGAAAATCCAATCCGAGAAACAACCAAAAAAAAATTGAATACCCCGAGCAAGAAATTCAAGCACTTGCTACACCTAAGGCAGAAAATCAAAGATTCGGCTATGAATTTTACGAGTAGGCCTACTATGTAAGAGTTTTTAGGTTGAATACCTTTCCCTTCTCTGATTCTCATATTATATAGAAATCGAAATATGTACATATATGATACGTAATGAACCTAATATGGTAATGTACAACAATGGTATGTAATCGTCCTAGTTGTAACTACAATCGGAGTAATTAAACTAACTTATATTAGAGTTTAACAGTAAGAGCACCTTGAAGACTAAGTTTGAGATAATAAATGTGTTCGCTCTAAAATAAACATCGTAAAGAAAATAAAGAACAATCATAAAGCAGAATGAGCGAATAAAAAAAAAACACAAGAAAGCCATGAAAGGTGTAGAAAATAATTTGGATGAGACTAAAGAACGAGTGATAGATAAATCTTTTCAATCAATTTTCTCAAGGGCCACAAACACCATAAATTGAAGTCTCGTTTGGCTAATGTGGGTTAAACTTTTATTTTCTACTACAAATTTCAGTGAAGACACAAATATTATTCATTTTTCCATCATCATTCATATCTATATATAAATTAAGTGGTTTGTTCTTCCCCTAAGGAGGCTAAATAAATTTACCTTCTCTAAAAGCTTAATTCTTAGATGAAGTAGTTTTACATAATAGACAATGGCTTTAAAATCAAGTTTTGTTGTCTTCCATTTATGAACATTATTCACTTACATGAAAGAGTGAGTCGTAGATTTATATAAACAAATCCCTTTTAAAACAACTTAAACTTTTAAATAAAGTGGTTTAATACCAAAGCATAATAGTCTTCCAAGTTGGATTTAAAAAAGAAAAAAAAAAAAAAAA